TTTTATATGAGACTGGGTTGTCTGATTCCAAGTCCATTGTTCCTCAGGCCAATTCACATTAGCAACAAGTACATGTTCAAAATAGACTTCAACTTCCTCAAAGGTGAAAGGAACAAACTGAGTTAATTTGTCAATTTTCTGGTCTAGAAAAACTCTTTACCTTTGGGCAAAAAATGTATGTCTTGACTGTCAAATTGCAAACAACCTCGTAAGACAAGGAGGTATTACTTTAATAATTTGTAACTATCACTCAAACTCCCAGTTAGATTGCTGCCCTCAGTCCACAATAACCTACTATTTGGTGAAGTCTGCGTTAAAGCGATGTGAGAGAAAGGGAATTTCTCCCTGTTTCTTATCAGCCGTGTGCATAAAGGACTCCATTTCCCCTTTGCTTTCTGTTTTAGAATTTCTGCTCACTACTAAAAGGTAATTGCCTGTGGCTCTGACAAAAGGCAATCGAGAGAAATAGAGGGAGAGAGGAGATATGTTATTAAATTGGAGTGTATTTGTCAACAAACACAATTTGATATGCTTAAAATAAAAATAAAAAGTATAGAAAAGAATGGCTATTTTCAGCATATTGGTCAATTATGTTCCTAATGTATCGATAAAAACATGTCTGGATTAATGTGTGTGTCTCAGTGAGTCATGTCACTATGTGTAGAAAAACATTTTGCTATAGCCATCGTATGTTTCCTTTTCCGTTGCTGTTGGGGGTTGCCAAATGCCCACTTTCAGCATTTGGCAATATCCTTGACATAGAGTGCAATGAAAAACTTGCCACTATTTCCCCTTTTTGTTCTTATTTCTTACATTAAGCACTGGAATTTAAAAGGTGTTCAAGAAAGTTATTTCTTTTAGTCTTTGAATATGTATTAATCATACAACAGTCCCTTCAAACTCAGACTCAGTGACCTACAGTGTCAGCAGTTGTAAAATTCCAAAAAGCCAAAAAGGAGGAAAGCAATCGGTTTCACATCCTTTTTTTAATGGATGACCAGAACATATACATGTTTTCCATAGCTTAACACTTCTTTCACAGCGGCACTGTCGCCATTTCGAAGAGTGTCACAATGACAAAACAGCTGAGAAAACTCACAAAATGATTGTATGTGCACAAAAATAAAGATCTCTTATCTCAACTAAGCTCATATCTTAAAGTATTAATTTAAACATGAATTAATAATTAAACTTCAAGTATCTTTACTTTAAAAGGATTATCTTCTCTTAAAATTCATCTTTAAATATTAAATATTTGAAGATCCTATACATTTGTAGTGTTTCATGCTTGTTAAAAAATGTACTGGCATTATTAGACAGGAAACTACAAAGGACGATAAATGGCACAAGTACAATAAAGAGCAGCCCAAAAACATCTGATTAAGATTTAAATTAGATCAAGTTGATCGGTCCGTAAATTGGATCAGGATGCAACTCTACGGCCTGAACCGGTGTCGCTCAGAAACAAGTTTTGTGAAGTTTCCTTTTTCAATCTGGCACAAGTATCAAAATGAAAGGACCAGCAAATCGCTTGATGTGAAGATAAAGGAGAACCAGCAGAGAGGCTTGCCACTCACCACACAACAGCTGCAGCAGACCCAGAAAGACGAGAGGCTCGCATCAGCCTTGATAACACTAGATGAAACAGTGTGGCTCAAAGCAGCTCAGATTGGAAGACATATGTGCGTATGCCAAGCAGCACCACCACCACCAGCAGCAGCCGCAGGAGCCGCAGCAGCAACATCCTTGTTTTGAATTTGTGAAACTTCACTATTTTACAGGAAGAAACACATGACTGATGGGGCCCAGTTATGGGAAGAAAAGTAGGGTGTTTAAATTCCCGAATGAAAGGAGGTGAGCAGTTCAAATCAAAACAAACAAATCTGGGACAAATGTAATAATTCTTCTCTTATTTATTTATTGTGACAATGTATTACATTGCTGATGGAGTAATAAGAACAGTCATTACACCTCAGTTTGAAGCAATTAAATATAAATCTCTGAACAGTTGAGGTGTCTGGCCTTTGCTTGTATGAGCGTATGGACATATTTCAACTTTGATAGTCTTTTCCCACAAGGTGTTAATATGGCGGCTGGCAAATGCCCTACAATGTGACTCCAGGGAGCTGTCTTGAAGAATGCAATAAGTCTGGTTCAGGCTGACCCCTCTGTGCTGAGTGTGACCTCTGGAGTAGCAGATCTGCTGTATCACAGAGGCTGCCTCAAATCGCAGTCATCTCCCTCTCTGAGCCTGTCCAAGCCTTTGTCAGCATGGTAATAGAACAAGCTCTTAAATGGGATTGTAAACTGTGCCTTGACCCCCCAAGGGCACTTGAAACTACTTGCCATATCACGTTTATTAGCTTATTAAATTGTAAAATGATTCTCTGGCTGAGGCCTCATTTCAAACAGTGCGCGAGGCGAGCCAGTGAGCTCACCCACTCAACTTTTAATCTAACAGCTGCATCCCTGCTCGGTCACTGTCGCCCTCAAAAACATAATGGAAGCTAACTGTTAATCAAGAGGACGCTGGAGGAGGAATTAAACACACGCAGTAGTAGGTTTTTGAATAGGAATCAACAGGAGGAAAGAAAAGCAGGCACTAATTAAAAATACATTAACTGGTTATCGTGCGTTGACATATTTTGCTTGATCTTTTTTTCCTAATCAGCAGTAATGAACGAAGTGTTCTCCATCCACTGGGTATTACATGCTACGTTTCAGTGAGCAGTAAAATTAGCTGAGGCCCCTGAAGCTAAGTTGAACCGATGAAGCTTTGCTAGGTTTGATTACGGCTCTTGTACTGTACTTAATAGAATGCTGTCTCCTCTTTAGATTCTTATTCACATTAGAGATGTGACTAACCCCAGATTAGTCACTGCTGGAAATATCCTCTCATATCTATCTACTATAATACAGAGAATTATAGTAGTTAACTGCAATCACAACCACTGTAATCATGGTCTCTGCTAATCATGGATGCTTACATTCAAATCTAAGACTATGTAAGGCCCAGTGCCTTCTGTTAAAACAATGATGTTGTACTACTCCACTCAACCCTATGAGTCAAAAACAATACACTGTACTCAGAGTTTAATAGTAAAGAAAATTACACATTTTGTGTTCTTAAATCAGCCCCATAACCCTTAGTGCAATGAATCGGATATTTATATGCTAATACATACTCAATACCTGCCTCACAGCTAATTAGTGATGGAAGACCTGCTTGCTTTTACTTTTGAATGTACAATAGTTTAGTACATTATAAGGTGAATAACCTTTGTTGGGAAGATTGGGCCATAGCATCAACAGATTGGTATTTAATGGCAATAAAGTATAAAAAAGATGAACTTATTACATGTAAATGTGTTTCGCATCTTAACATTGTAATTATCTTTACATTTAAAATGCTTTTTGATTTATTATATTACTCAGTAACACAGTAAACTGAAAGTGAGTGTGAAAGTGGAATCTTGATCCTGGAAACGGTACTTTGACAAGAAAACGGGTTAGCCTTTTCAAGGAAATCCATCCAATAGTAGTTGTGATATTAAAAAAATTAAAATAAAAATGTCAACCTAATGGTGGCACTGGAGGAAAAGTCAGGGGGTTCACCGCGGCAATCTACTGAATAGTTATTTGAGATATTGCAGTCTGGAGCAAAGTGGTTGACCAGCTGACTGAATTCATACAGACTACTTCAACTAAAACTGTGTGTGTTCTGCAGCGACAGCGCAGATATGTGCTGTACTAGCTGTCCAAATTATCAAAACTCCCAGATGGAGAGACCATATGTCCTGAAAAGTGGCAATGTGGAAGGTGCATGTGCTTTACTTTCTGTTCCTAACATCTGAATGGATGCTGTTTGCATATGTACAGAACAAAGTCCTGCGATATGTATTTCATTCACACAAATCAGTTATGTTAGATTCCTTGTGTATTTATGGTATTTGGCATATAATATTGATTCTGATTCAGTTATAATCACAGTCATCTGTCATATTCAACATTTACACTATATGATGCTTAATGTGATTACATACCCTAAGCTGAGTTGCTGCACACCAAGGAGCGTGGCCCCTTGCACTTCACTGCTGTTTCACTTCACATGACGGTTGGTTGAGCGAGACAGTGGCACTGAGAGAGGGAGAGGGAGAGAGAGAGAG